TGTGTAGGAAACAAAAGATACGATCTGCTGCCAACATTCCCAAATTTTCTGAGAACGTAACCACCCACAATTTTAAAATCTGGAAAATATCCATAACTTTTTAAAAAAACATGACTGGCAATTTGGAAAAAAAGTTACTACAGAAACTACTTGCTTCAATTCCCTCCAAATACTGAACTTCACCTGCTAAGCCAGGGGTGGGCAATTATTTCGGGAAGAGGGCTGCTTACTGAGTTTTGGCAAGTCATCGAGGGCCGCATGACATGGAGCCAAGGGAAGATAAATTTTAATTTGCTAAATTTTTCAGGGGCCCTGTGGGCCAGACAGAATGGTCTGGTGGGCCACATCCGGCCCATAGACCGCATTTTGCCCACCCCTGTGCTAAGCTTACTGCTTGTTCCATGAACATCATGATGCAAATACAAGAGCAGGCAGAGTGTACTATACATTGAATTAATTACATATATATCATAACGTTTATCATTGGTCACAAGTACTGATTATTAATGTAAACACAGAAGATTCCAAACCATTAAGGTACTTACCACAATCCATTCTGCAATATTTTCATACAGCTCTGGATTAAAAATTGCTTTCTTCAATCTGGCTAGTGGGCCATCAGCATCTACTAACCGACACCTCATAAATACATCACAGTAGCCTTTAAAATCATTGCAGGGGGATCCAGGTTGGAGAGTAATGGTTTTGTGATGGAAAAACGCCTCCCACTCGACAGACCCTGTACTTGCACATGTCATTGGCTTCACTGAACAAATTAAAATAATGGAAGAGTGGATATTATTTCAAAACATAAATACTTTGAGAATTAATGAGCAAAGGACACTACATAGATTTAAAAACCTATCAAATATATATGAAAGTACAGCTTGAAAAATAAGCAGATAAAAGGCAAACCAATGGCCCATCTAATATGTATTTTACTTTTAAGGTCCACTGGCTGTTCTTGTGGGAGAATCTCATCCTCTATATATTCATAATAAACAGAAATGTGTTTTATATATCCATATCCAAAAACTGCATCTTTTTGGAAGAAACTGTGTACCAAAGACTATTTCTCTTCCCACTTGTATCCATTCTTACTCACTTAAAACTTTTGCCAAGATTTAAGTTCTCAAATTAAATTTAAAAAAAAAAATCAGACTTTATTGAAAAAAATCCTGAGATTTACTCCTGTATTTATATCTAGAATTAAGGTAAATCTTACTTTTATTCATGCAGCACACATGGCATAATTCTTTATCATCCTTCCCATCTGAACTAGCACAGGTACATTCCTCCAAGCCATGCTTCTCACAGATAGAGCCAGCACATTGCTATTTGAGACAAAAGTAGGGATACTTAAAAACCAACTTCTCATACAAGTTTATCCTATAATGGGTAAAAGGAAAATTTTACCTTGTAAAGGATTAAAAAGGGG